CTTTCCAAAATCTTAGAGGATTTAATCGACGCTGTGTTTAACTTTCTCCAAGGGTTTTAGCTTTACTGGGAGTTTCGCCAGAGTTTCGACGTTTCGCCAGTTTCGACTTTCGCCATTTACCAAAAATAGTTTCGCCTAACAACACTAGTCAGACGTCTATCAGCCAATCAAAGATCGGATCAGGTGTAACGTAAAGAATTCAAAACAAACGTTCGCTTTGCAAAAATTGCATTTACCTCAAAATTTAGTCTAGTAAACCGTCCTAACAAAAAAATTTCCTTGTACAATTTTGCTATGCTATAATTCTTCCTAACTTTAGCCTAAACACTAGCTCAAATATAAAGAAGTTTATAACTTAACAACATTTGGGGGTGAGTCAATAGAAACGCACCATATTTTTTCTAAGTAAATTTTTTTAAAACTTTAAACAAAGATAACTCAACAACGAATTTATCAAATTTAGTAAAAAAAAAATTTATACCAATTCTAAGAACTTATAGAATTTATTTAAAAATTTTTATTAAATTTGATTAAGTTTTTGCTAAGTTATTTTTGTTTAAAATTCAAAAAGAAATCATTAAAAACGATATGGTGCGTTTCTATTGACTCACCTCATTTGTTCTTCGAGAATCACGTAAAAGCAAATCGATCCTGTGCCCTGTCAAAATTGAGACAACAGGGACACGGAAATATTCTTAAAAATTTCAACTATAATAGAATTGGCAGAAATCACATGTTTAAACCAATTAACAGCCAATCATTATATGATCACATAAAATTTGTATCCAAAAAATTTCGAAATTACACATTAAAAGTTTCTTTCAAAAAATTTCCGTGTCCCTGTACGACAACTAAGCCTCAGATGAGTAGCGACACATCACTATGGCGATAAAAAATAAAATCCTTTAAATAATATTTTTTATATAAAATTTTTTTAAACAAATTTCTTCAAAAGAAAAGATGCAGTCGCTGAATTATCACCGGCAGTGATAGTTTTCTGTAATATATAGGCCACATCAAGTTAAAACTATGTTTAACATAACCTCCCTCTCTTTGAGCCTCAGATATAGGGGTAAATAATATCACTTAATATAAAAATCATAAAAAAAATTTTTTTACCCAATCAAAATCATACCCCCTTTAGATTTGTCGATCATTTCATTAGTACGTATTACGATATGTTAAACAAAAATCAACTTGGATAATTAAAACCAATATAAATGGTCATAAATTTATTATCATTATCATTAGAGTTAGGATTAGTGAAAGTGTAAATTTCACATGAAATTATTTTGTTTCTTAAACATAATTTTCCATAAAAACCAAAGCAAACAATATAACGATACTTTTCACAAGTTGCAACGAACAAAGAATCAAAACCTGTATTTATGAATACAACATCGTAAAACTCTTATTTTTAGCTTCGCGATGACATTTGTTAATTGCGAGAATTGCATCATTTGATGTGATTTTATTGTTGCTATGAATAAAGTTGATTTTATATTACGTTAAGTAACACCAGTGTAAATATATCGTACACGTTCTTGTTATTTAATCTTTAAATGTGTACAGGGAAATTCCATGTAGAATTTTGATATTTCCAAATTTGTACCTTCATTAAAATTTTGTCGTACAACCGAATCGGGAAATATTTATAACACGCTTCGCGTAATTTATATTTATACTTTATTATGTAAATTTACTTTTAAATATTCCCAAATCATCGGCGGTATTCTTTATTTATAGTCATATCCCCCCCCAAAAAAGTGAATCTTTTTATTACAAATCAGGCATAAAAAAAAAAAAAACATAAAAAATTTATATTAAAAACTTAGAATCAAATCATAATGACATAATTCGAAAACTAAAAATCTTATGCGAAAATACAATATAAGCTTCATTGGAATATTTGAAAAAAATTATAGGATATGATATTATTGAGCAAATGCTTGTGAATAACGACAAAAGGTCTTGAGATAACAGGAACCACAATAATATAACATTTTTTTGACGTCAAAGTTCATCCATCTAAAAATATATAACGAAATTTAGTATCGAATATCAAAACAATTATATCTGACAAAGTTAGGTGCTTAATTGAACGACGGCGTACATTAAACCATTTAATTGAGGAGTCACGATGTGCCTTAATAGGAGTCAACGATGAGCCTTAATTTTGTGGTGCCGTGTAAACTGACTTACCTCCTGACACATTTGTATCCTCTGATATATTAGTGCCCATTACTTGTTGTAATGTGTTTATCGGAAATTGAGAGGTTGTCTGTTGTTGACCTATATAGAACGGAAACAGTAAGTATTAGCTTCCATTTTATGCTAGAACCAGTATGGTGGTCAATAGTAAAATCCCATTGTGTATAATGAATTCTAGCTAGAAATTTGCCTTCGCGCGTGATGACGTCATATTTGCACCGATGAAATTAATAAAATTATCATTATCAGAACAATATCCTTTTTATATAACAGTATTAGCCAATTTATTACTAGAAACAGTGTCAACAGGTAATGTATATCGTTCCTCCAACAATTTTTTCGCGGACACTCACTCACAAATGAATCGCTGATAAACATTTCGCCGATTATTTATTTCTAGCCAATATAACCAACACTAGTTTAAATCGGCCAACTTTATCAGCGAAATGGCTATAGACGAAATAGTTGCCCACTAAATTGTGTATTCCTACAAATAAACCAATTATAGATCTCGCGCAAAAGAACATCTCTAATCTCAACTATAATATGTAATAACGGTTTATATATATAAATGTACGTGATAGTTCCGATAATGATGAACTTACCTAACGATTGTCCTAACGTAAATGGATGGTGGAATTGTGTTTGCGAATCCATATATGTACTATTAGCTGGACATTGGTGATATACCACACATTTTGTAGGAAGGTAAGTTAACTCACTTATACAAAAATATATTCAAGGATAATGAATATTATCTTACTCACCTTGTAATATATTAGCATTTAACTCTGCAAATTCTCTTTGTAATGTGTTAGCACCTAATTCCGCAGACAATTGTTGATTTTGATGCTCTGGATTTATCGGTATACAACGTTAAAAAAAAAATCAATATTATGTTTCGAAAACATTTCATGCTATAGTTCAAACATGTTGATTTTACTAAAGTTGATTTCTTATTATACCTAATGACTGATATGGTGGTCGATAAAATTGTATTTGTAAGGTTATTTGTGGGATATTGATGTAGTCTATATGAATAAATAAGATTTAAAGTAAGTAAACACACTATATTACTATAAAATTCAAGTCTATTTTAATCGATTTTTTGTTGATTTTTACCTTGTGGTACATTTGTATTTATTTGTACCAACAGCCGTTGATTTTGATATCCTGTGTTTATATAATGTTAAGAATCAAAAATACTAAGGTAAGAAAGAATATTTATATTATTATATCATAAGAATTAATTCTTTTATTCTACCTTGTAATGCATTTATACTTATTGGCGGGTTTTGGTAATCTATATATAATAAATTAAAAATTAAAAAATCTCAAATGATAAGCTTCGATTAGACACTGATTCGATTAAACGTGATTTCCTATCTTACCGGATGGTTGTTGAAATTGTGCTTGTGAAGTAGTGTATGAATTATTTAATGAGTTATTTGCGTGAGACTGATAATCTGTATTAATGTTAGGAATAAAATTTAAGGTAATCAACATATTTGCGTTCAAATGTAGTAATATATGATTGATTTTCTTATACGTATGTATACACCTTGTAATGTATTTGTATTTATTTGTGAATTTTGATAATCTGGATTTAATTAAACGTATCGGTATATACTCAGATACTTGTAAGATTACGTACAAAAAATCGCATGTGATCAGTGTTGAACGTTAAAAAAGGCTTTATTGCCTAATTGGATTGGACCCAAGAGATAATCTATTAATTCAATTGCCGTTATAAGTGGATCATATCAAAATATCATATCACATGCTTATATTCAGTAATTGAAATTTTCGATTAAATTTCTCAACAACTATCTAACAGTCAAAATGGTAAAATCAGTGTAAATTCATCCAATTAAATTCTATTTATTGACAAATATATAGAATGTTTACTCTTTGGCAAGAAATCTGCATCCTGAATTGACTTTCGGTAAACATTCAGCTAGCCGACTGGTCGATTGCTGACAAATGCTGGTATAATGCCGACGATAATAAGTAGGCATTCTGTAAATTGGCCATCAATTGATCTAACCTCAATTAATTAGGATGTACTTAAACTAATTTTATCATTCTGACTGGTCTAATTTATCACAAATTGTAATTATTTTAAAATTTCATAAATTTGTTGCTCAATTCAAAAAATATTTTTTTAGTGTAAACAGTAACAAAATTTTTTTGATTTGAATATAGACCAATTTGAATTTGGTTCAAGTTCCATTGATTCATCGTTCCAATCAAATTTAATTAGACCTAGTCCAATTTGCAACACCGCATGTGATAGTTTGATCGTAACGTCAGAATCATTAAGTATAATTTCCTATCTCACCTGACGATAATTGTTGGAATTGTGTTTGTGAGCCCGTATATTGGTTATTTACTTCAGATTGAGATTGAGGATCTATAGAATATTGCATATTAGGAGTGAAAAAGCATAAGGTCCAAGGTATGCAAGCGCATTTACCCATAATTTATGCCTGTTACCCAAAGATTTTCTTAAAATCTCGGCCTTTCAGAATTTCAAATTTTTGGTTTCGATTTGGTTTCGATTTTTCGAAACTAGTTTTTAAAATACTAATCCGAAATTAAGCCGAAACTATTTTGGGTAGGGTTTCGCTTTGAGTAACAGGTATATCATAAATACTTGTAAATAATGTTAATTAATTTTCTTATTTATACCTTGCAATATATTTATATTTGGATTTTGGTATCCCAAATTTATGTTATTAACAATCGTAACTAGCAAGGTTTCACGAAAGATCATGTGTTAGATAGTTCTGACCATTAATCGTTGATTTAATTAATGATAATTATAATTTCTTACCTGACAATGGTTGCGAACCCAAATATGGGCTATTGACTTGATAGTCTATATCACGTATTAGGAATAGAAATGATAAGATTTAAGGTAAGAAAAACACATTCATATTATTACAAATGTTTTATTAATTTCTTATTTCTACCTTGTAATGCATTCGCGTTTATTTGCGCTGATAATTGTGAATGTTGATATTCTGCATTATTATTATATAATAGAATTAATCAGTAAATTGAATATTAGTTTAATAATCAACTATAAATGTTTTCTTTTAAACCTAATGATTGATATGATTGCTGTGTTCGCGATGATATACATGGATCACTATCCTGAAATTGGAGATCTATGTCGTGTAATGAAAAAATCTAAGATGAGTAAGTTATATTTTAATAAAAAACAAATTTCCTAAGACTACCTTGAAGTGTATTCGTACTTATTTGTGACAATTGTGAATTTTGATATTCTGTATATGTAATATTAAAATTTATACAAAAAATTGCATGCAGACGTGATTCAGACAACAACCCTAATTTCTTGTCTTACCTGACATGAGCGTGTTGGGAAGGTATTGTCCTATTTTGAGCGTTGGAAATATAAAATTTAACATTAAGGTGAGCAATGCATTTATATCATCATATCAATATAATTTATACCTTGCGAAATCGGTGTAATTGTTTGTGAAGGCACGATACTTTGACATCCTAGAATTAATATTAAAGAATAAAGATCGGAACTTTGGTTATTCTATTATCATTAATGACAATTATTTTATTTATTTTATATAATTGGTATTACGATTAGTTTCATAGTATTATTATGTGTAGCAGTTTTCAATTGTTATCAAATAGACAATAACTAGTTTTAAGACTCACGAAATTATGAGAAATTTAAAATTGACATTCTTAATTTTTACCTTGTGACGTAGTTGCCTCGTAAGAGCTGTTAACTTGATGACCTGGATTTCAAATTAAGAAAGTGAGTATCAAGATAAGCGAACACATCATGTTATCAAAGGTGTGATTTTTGGTTTTAACCTTGTAACACGTCCGCATCTGTGATATCTTTATTCAGAGATTGATGGTCTAGATTATGTATCAATAAATATACATTATATATCAATATCATACATACTATTTAATTAATGTTATTGCATGTCACGTGTATGCCATCATGGTGCATACGTATTTAATGATAATTTCTAATTTTACCTTCTAATAAATCTTCTATTAGATTTGTACTTGATGTCGTTTCAGTCGTACTGGGAGAAGTTGATGAAGCTATATTGAATATGAATATGATATGGAAACGTAAGCTTCATATTGAATACTTATAATAGAATAACGTAAGTTTCAAATTGGTATAAGTATTATATATGCATGATATACTAAACTGTTATTCACAATAGCGAAGTAATTTAAATACAATTAAGTACTATACAAGGATTTAATAGTGCTCCTATACTGTGCGGTACTAGTTATATGTGATAAACAAAATTCATACGAATGCTGCTGGACAAAAGAATGGTTACATGACCTAAGTCGTGACTACTTATAATCAGATCATTCGTTCGCGTGCAGGTTCGTACATTCTTTTCTAGTGTATCATACACTTTCGATAAAACATTTGTCATGTCAAAAGATTGACGTAATTTTTTCTAGAAAAATAATCACATATTATTGCTAAAAACTGAATTTTCAATATATTTTGTTTGACAGTGCTCATAGGAATGTAATTTTTTTTTTCAATCAAAACAACCCATTTAATCAGCGAAAGCTTATATAGGAGTATAATTTGCAATCCAAAAATCCATTTAACCAACTAAGGATGCCGTATTAAATAAATGGAAAAGGTTGCACTTACTTTTCATGGCTTCGATTAGATGGTTTTCTGTGTTTTCGGATACGTAAGAACAATAATTATTCCCCTTCCCAGCGCAGTAACGACATGACTCCTTTCCTTTTATGCCTTCATGACATTTTCGTTTACGGCGACGACAAGCCTTGCAAGCTTCCAACTTGCGTTCATTTATTTTCATTTTTCGAACAAATATGCTGACCAGAAAAGGAGGCAAAGTATGAAATAAAAGAAAGTATAGAATTTTTTTTTTTTGTTTTTAAAGAAAACAATAAATGGAACTATTCCTAGCTGTTTATACTTTAATATTTTTTTTTGGTAGTCTTTCGTTTTTGGTTTCTTTTTTATATTTTGATTGTGAAATCAAAGTTTATTTATCGAAATCAAAAATATAAGGGTAAAAAAACAGGAGGTTTATATAAAAAAAAAATTGATTTACGTATAGTCAGTATTATATCATCTGAAGGAAAATCAAATTAAATCACAATTTACATTGGCAAAAGTTGTATTAAATCACCTTCCCAGTTGTCAACATCCCTATTATCAACAGTACTATGTTAGCAGCATTGACCACGCGACCTCTTAAATATCAACTTCTATACTAAGTATCTGTATATTAGAAAGGTATATAATTAGAGTCAGAAATTAAGATATTTATTATCACGTATGATAAGATAGAATGAATATATGCTAGTATATAATAATATTATTAATAAACCAGTAATTATTTGGAATGTTACACGCATGAACTGGCATTTTTAATTTTTAATTTTGAAGTTTTTAATCAAACACTAATAAAATTTATTTTTATTTAAATTTTGAATAAAATACAGTAGTTAGCATATAAAGATTTTATTGAAAGTTCGGAATTTTATTTTAAAATTTTATGTGCTTTTTATATGAATTTCGCAAAAAGCCAGTACTTTGGCTATTTTTTTATATCGGGATGTCGTTACATGAATTTTGTTTATTTGTAAATAATGCATATGATTCCGTTTAGCTTTCTCTAACTCTATATAAAGTCAGATGTCATAAACAATTATGCATAATGATAAGATATTTACTTTGCCATCTTGAAAGGATTCTAATAAAGTAAAAAAGTAATAATTGTCTCCCGCCTTCGGAGTTATGCCAAACTACAATTATCTCCAATCATTTTTATTCCTCCTGTGGAATTTTTAAAAGATTGTTCTTATCACGTATACAGATAAACAAGATACATATTGCAACTTTGTCTTAAATTTCAAATATATGCATCAGTTGCCGAAACCTCTTGATAAACTTGATAATTCGGCTGGCTAGTGTGTATATTAATTAACATAAAATGAATTACAACCTGCAATTCCAATGTAATGGTAATGCTGCACGTAACTTAACAATAATGGCTAGATCGACCCCATTCGACACTGTTTATTCTATTTTAGTATTAAGTGCATTTAAAAAAATATATATGTTCGGAGTCTGACTTAAGACATAGAGATAGTAAGATATATTACGAGCACGTGATCAAAATTGACCGACAGAAAATCTGCATGATTCCAAAAACTTATAGCTCCCTGACGCCAAGATAGTGCTATGGCAACCGTTCTGGAACAATAACGGCAAGGTATATCTTGTATGAAAAATTTAAATTTTAAAGGGGAGAGAGGTACTTTGACGAATTATCCTCCGAAGTAAACGATCGGATTCGATTATTCTTGCTGAGAGAAATAAAAGTCACTCGAATTCGACCACTGCTTTATGAGGTATCTAATTACCACACGTGTTCATCATATTTTTCGATTATATTTTGTGACTATACAATTGGACTTTTGCATTCAATGAGAGAAGTCGAATGGTACACAGATGATTTTCAATTGTTATACAGGAAATTCCTCCTAATAATAACCCATCTACACTTTAAAATTACGCTGAGAAGTATACAGCGTTCAATTTAAGCATCTTTTTTTTAAAAAAATTTTTAAGATTTAAGCCTTTGTACAAAATTTCTTGAATATCGATAGGGGAGTGATGGCAATTGGAATTATTGGAATTAGGTAAATAATTGGTCTATAATTAATTTTATCACTACATTGTTGACTTGATTATTATTTTCATTGACTTTATTGGCAATATTTTTTCTTTTATCACTTGATTAATGGTTCTGTTACTTTTCATTATTTTGTTCGTTATTTTCCACACATTTGACAAATACTAGAAACAGAAATAATGTAGAATAAAATAATACCGTAAAATGAGTACACATCTTTTTAATGCCAGATGTGTCTGGATTTTCATTTCGGGATCGATGCATATTATGCATATCAATCATATAATGCTTTGTAATGCTCATTCCAACTAGCATCATTCAATTCTTCAACAAATACAGTTAATACTTGTAAGAATGTCCAGTATTATTTCGGGTCCTTACTTAAACAATACATTCGGAAAAAACCACTTTTGTGACTTTTTATTTTGCAGTATTTTAAGGTCTAATTTAGTTGTGCATCATTTACAGATTCTTTAAATCGGGTTATCCACACGCACTGTTTTTATGTATTTGTAGGAACCGAATGTTCATACACTATTAGAGTTCCAATCTGGATAAATCCGCCATCCATTTATCCATATCTGAATTTATCCGGATATCCATATGCTATGGATAATCCGACAAATATTCGGATCATTATTCGGATATCAATAGTAAAACGGATATCCGAATAAATTCAGATCTGGATAGGAACTCTATACACTATCAAAGTTTTCATCCGAAAAATAAATTTATAAGTCGCATGTTAATTTCAGTTTGGAAGTAATATAATTCAAAAGGGGAAGTAATTCTTAGTTTACTATTCTTTCTTTGAAAGTTGACTGATGCTTGTAAGAATTCTTGATAAATTATGTAAGAATGCAGGAATTAATTAATCATATTCTGGCTTAGCGGAGTTTCTCCTAGGTTGTGTTAACGGCAATCTGTACTGCCATCTATCGGCCGCGTAAGTGGACGATCAATGGCGGTACAGGTTACTAGGTTACTGTTGACACAACATAGGAGAAAACTCACTAAACTCCGATTATCTAAAATATCAAGTCTTGTTACAATGCTGTAATAAAAAATCCAGTATCAAGAAGTTTTATTAAAGGTTTTTTTGATTCACTGACACGACATTAAAAGATTTCTCTCATGCAAAATAAATAATAGATGCCAAACCTGCTTTTTATTTTCAATATTGCAATTCATTTGCAATATTGTACTACAATTTTGTGATCCCATTATCCTTATATGCATTGCTTAAATTTCATAATTTTTATCTGCGCATATCATAAAATTGGATTTTTTTTTTTAATTAATTGAGTAATTAGAAACTTGTATAATTTGCGACGAAAAATAGCGCAAATTTTAACATATCGGCAGAACCACAGATCTGCCGATATGAATTACTTTGTACGTACTTTAACTAATATTATATACAGGATGGTTGAGATAAAGTTGAAATTCGGATGTTTTAAAAAATGTCAATAAATCAATATTTTATTAAGACAATCTTTTAAATAAAAATGCTCAATTTTACATACAGTTGTTTAAGGGTAGGGTGAACATCGGCTAGTGATCACGTTACTATTTTTTTACAATAACATTCAATTAAAATCTGGTGATCATATGTGCTAGGTGCTAAAAAAGGAACGAAATTGACAATTTTTTTAGAATATGATAAAATCAATTTTTATTTAAAATACAAAAGTGGTTGTAATAATAAAATGTTGCGATATAGTTCTTTAAAGCTGCATTTTCTTATAAGTTTGTAACATAAAAATTGATTTTCTTTGTTTAGATTACAGATAAACTGGTCTGGGTTTTTATTCTTGCATGTAATTTTTATTTTTATTTTTTATTTTTAAAGGTGAGGTTATGCTTTTAACTTTATTAAAATTCAATTGAAGTTTTTACAAAGAAAAGCTTGCTTTTAAATTACATATGAAGAATAAAGACTCAGACATATAATCTGTAACTTAAACCTACAAGAGCAGTCAAGGCTCACCTAGATTTGGATTTGAGTAATAATATAAGGAGATATATGATATTTAATCTATTGGATAGTTCAAAGGTCAAGTTTAATAATAATTTGTGGTATTGAAATAGAAGGTAAGGGTAGACTAGAAGAAAAACTATGAAATAAGTTAGTAAAAGATGTAATTTAAGGCTATGCAAAGCATAAAATACAGTATAGAATTCATATTTATTTATATATTTGTTGGTTTAAGTAAAGAAGAAACTTAATAAAAAAAGAAGTAATAATACAATAAGGAATATAAGTATTGTGAATAGTAAAAATAAGGTCAATAAGAACTAGACCAGATAGAGCAAAGATAAGAGAAGGTATATGTAAAAAGTTATGTAATTTAAAACTGTTAAGTATAAGATTTTTTTATACAGATTAGAGATAAGATTAGCAAACATATTAAGAGCTGTTGTATTTAAGAGATTAAATAATAAATTGTTAAGTTGAAGAACAGATAGCTTAATGAATTAAGAACTGGTTTAGTTACATTAGTGACAAGTAAAAGAGTAAGAAGAGTTACATTTATGAAATATATAAAAAACAGAAAGTTCATCTGTAAGAATTTTAACTCAAAAAGTTTTTAGAATAGATAAGTGAAAGTTGTGAACAAAATTGGAAATTTTTTAATTATTATTAATGTAAAGTCATGTAGTTTTCTAGTTGATATCAGATACAATAGTAAATTATTATTAAAAAATAATATTAAGATATTCAAAGTATTATAATAGGAACTTGACACATAGTTCAAATAAAGCATTAAATAGAAATTTAATAAGAAATTAGTTGATAAATAGTGTATAGATAAGATTATAAAAATTATTAATTAATAATATTTAATAATTACAAGCAAATTGATTATCAAAGTTGTTAAATGGATCATTTTAGTATGTAATAACTTTGTGAAAAATAAGATGAATGTTATAGAAGTTAATAAAATTAATAAGGGTTTGTTAAATAGAAAAATATAGAGTATAAATATAAGAAAGAGTAGATACTAATTGACAAATATTATGATATTTAGAAATTACAAATTATGAGTAAATAAATATATAAACAGAACAGTATTTAGAAGTAATAATAATCAGGAGACAACTCTTTTTGACAATCCCTCACACCAACTTTTTTCCAAAAGTCTGACCTA